AAGTTTAGTGGTGTCCCTGTGGAGTTACAGAGTTGAGTAAGGACATAGAGAAAACACCCACTTACATGGAAATGTGGTTACTGTACCCATGTATCTATAATGCAATCTATGATGCAGTCTTTGGGAAGATTTATGGTGTTTTCTGTGTGGACAGACTGAAAGTTTTCTTGAGGACTCTGTGGGGACCCTGTGCCCCATGTTCCTGGGCTCTGCAAACTCTTTCAAAGTGCCCTCAGCAGAGCACCTGGGTGATGTTTGCCAGTGATTGTAGCTATTCCTGCTGCTCCACCTCAGTAACTGGTGGTGGTATGGCAAGTCTGGAGCACGGTACAGACCCTGTGATCTAGGTATGGCTGGTGTCTTCACTGGCAGGGAGTGAACAACTGAGGAAGATGAAGAAAGTTCCCCTTCAAAACCAGCCTCGGTGGTGTTTTACATATAGCAAAGGAACACTGAAACATTTCACTGTGTCATCTGAAAAGAAGCGTACAGCAGAGATAAAAATGTGACAGTCTGTGCATTTTGGAGAATAAGAGAGAGACTATCAAAAAGGATATAGGAATTTAGGGAAGCCTGAAATGCTTTAAGACATTGGAAGAGGGCCCTCACTGTTATTTTCTCTGTAAGAGTGAGATCAAGCTACACCATTTAAATTAGCCTAGGGAAACCTAATTTGGTCAGAGGGATCACATCAAGGAGCACACCAACTAGTTTGAACTTAAAGAAAATACCTTTGAGTTTGGTGGTTTGTGGGTTTTTTGAATGAATAAAAGGTGGATTAGAAGAAATACCTTAATCACTCCTTGGGCTGATTATGTAGTTTTTATATATTTAGAGGTGAGTGAAGAGACAAAACTACCCATGTTTTACAGAGTTTTCCAAATAGCAAAAGAGCATTTTTTTTCCTAAGTCAGCCATGTGTATTTTGAAGGGAGTGTACATGTCTTCTTCCCTGAAACTTGCAGGGTCACAGAAGAATCCATTTTCTCCAGTTCCTGACATTGTTCAGCCCCTGAATGGAGCTGCTTCATTCAACTTCTTCCTGGTTGTTATTTCAGTTATTATTCCTGGTTGTTTGTCCAGGCACTTCTTGAGTCCATCTCTCAGATACATTCCTACGGATTATTTTCTGCTCTTCGTCTTTGCACACAACCCTCCCCAAGCGCCTCCTGTCCACACAGTGCAAGTCAGGTGAGAGCTGCATCGAAGATTTCAAAGACTGAGGAAGGAGTTAATGAGTGGCCAACAGTAACAAGTGAAGTAATTTGCTCTATTAAAGAAAGAGAGGTTTTTATGCTGTACATGCCAGTTATACAGAGAGAGACAGACACCATGGCAACAAGCTTGTCAGGCAGGAGCAGGGCACTACTTTAAGATGAACTATCACTGGGGACATCATTAGTGGTGGAGAAACTTCAAAAGCTTTGGAATTTGGGTTCCTTTTGCACCCAGAATTTCATCTGCTGTTATGGAATTTGAATCTCCAGTCTATAAGCTTAGCCTGGGATAACAATGGCAGGCTGGGATGTTGGATGCATCCTGCATAATATGAAAAGGAAGAATGTGACTACAGTATTTCAGTGCTTCCAGGCCTGCCTGGTTGTTGGAACTGTGTGGAAAGGAAGAATGAAAACATACCATTGAGTCACGTTCAGCAGGATTGTCTGAAATAAAGATTGAAAGGGAATTTGTAAAGAACTGTTCCTTCTGTGCTTACTCATAAGCCATGGATCTGATAGTTAGCCTGCGCTGATGGATTGATCCCCCTGTAAATCTCCCATTCTGGCAGGGTGGACAGATAATTGCACATACAAGGTTGATCCTTTTTATTCTCCTGTGGTTGTCTCGTCCACAATGCAGACACTTAGTCTGGTGCAAAGCTGGAGTCAAGTGCTGATAGGGTAGGATTTATACCCACGGGAAGTTCCTCTGTAGGCAACCACAAAGCAATTAGTGCACAAGCCATGTGGGACTCTGACTGTGGTCTAATGCGAATCTCATTTTACCAGAGCAACATACAGAGTTCAAGTTTCCAGTTCACAGCCTGCAGTGCCGAGGAAAACATTTCTATGGGCAAATGGAGAGGGAAAGGAAAGTCCTGAAGACCTGTGGTAGAGTTTCTATGACTGTCTCTTTAGCCCTGCCACGTGTATGAAGTGCTGAGAATGCCACACAGCAGAGTTTTCACTGTGACGGAAGGAATCACAACTTCATGAACCTTTGTGATTTGCCTGTATTATAAATCCCCATGACTGAGCTACTCAAATCTAAGGAGAGCTGCAGTCCTTCACAGCTCCAAAACTGAAGCACAGCCAACATGCAGAGCGTAAGTGTGTGGAGGCCAGATGCCTAAGCTGTGTCTCAACTCACCATGCCCCACTACTTCCACAGGAGCTGCTGCAGGAATTTTAGTCAAAAGCTATTTTAGCCCCATCAGGACTAACTGGGAGAAGTGATGAGCACAGACATTTGCCCACCTTGCAGCATAGGGAAGGAAAATCAGGTGGACATTAATCATCTTTTTGCAGATGCATCAAGTAAAAAGGAGAAGCATACTCAATCCCACAAAAACACTTATTTTTGAGCAGTTGCTCTCTAAGACCTGATAGCCAAGTGTTGTACTCAAAGAACAAATGAAAGAAGAGGTGGCTCCTCTGGCACTGCCTGCTTTCCAAAGATAAAGGAAGATGGAGTGCAGCACTCTGCCCATCCTGTACAGGAGGGTGAGAGCCATTGAGATAACTTGTTGCTGTCCTATTGCCAAGGTTCCGTACCTTCTTGGTGGTTTCTCACACGCAGCCCCTCACAGCACTGACTCCTTCTTCTCAGCACAGCCAATAAACTCCATCACTCCTCTCAACGAGCCAACCTGCTCTTTTATAATACCCCTCTTAACTGGATCCAGCTGTGGCCTATTAAGAGCAGGCTTGTTCTTAATGCTTGATAATTAGCACAGCTGTAACTCCTTAGGGGCTAGATTACCTTCACCACTGTCTCTATTTTCCTACCTTTTATCTAACCACAATAACTGTGAGAATTATTGTGATGGGGGCATCTGGCTTGCTCTAAAAAGAGAAGAAGTGGGAGCATTTAATGGATTTCTGCACGTGTTTGAGTTTTCCCAGTCCTGTGGAGAGAGGCCTCTCTGACCATAATTGGAATGAACTAATGAACAGTGCATGTGAGCAGAAAGCAAATCTGAAGCTGTAAGCAGCCAGCTCACCCTGCTGCATCATTAGCAAGGAGACATGTTGCATATGCAAGATGTAGGGCAGGTAAGGACACACTCATCCTACCGAAAAGGCAGAACATTCACCAGAATTTTCTGGTGGTTTTGGAGAGGTCATCTTGCCCCAGGTAGCTTTTCCTTCCAGGCAAGTGAAGGTATACAGATGTCTGTTGTTGGTCAGCAGGCAAAATTCTGCCAGGAGAAACTGGTGGCAACCTATGACAGCTGCACAAAGGTCATGGCTAGTGATGTGTGCAGAGGGAGAGAAAGCCTGTGGTTCCTACTCTGGCTTCTTTTATCCTGCAACCTAAACTAAATATTTATTTCTCTTTTACTGGCAGAGGACATCAATTAGAAAGGCAGAGTCATGCAGTGACACAGGTTATGCATCCCTTTTAGTCACATAAGGCCAACAGCAGGAAGAAATGCTGGGAGACGAGAGGTGTGGGGTTTGTCACCAGGCATTCTGTGATCAGAGATGGGAATCAAAACAACAAACAGCTTTCTTCCTGCTCAAAGGAAGAGCTTAGGAACCAGCAGGCGTGCAGAAAGGCCTCTCTTAAACACAGCACTGAAGAGAAAGAGGGGGACAGAGTCATGCCCCCACATCTGCCTTGAGGACACAGATGTCAGCTTCCACTCCTGCTCCTGGGGAGAAGTGTGCGTCATGTCACTGACCATGACATGCATGGTCTTGTCAGATCATTACTGCAAGTTCCAGAAATATCTTCTGATTGCTAATAGAGCATGCTAGATTATCTTGCCTGCTATTATATTACTCTTTAAAATACTATGAAATTTAATGGAGAGAGGAGCTTTCTTTTGGAGGAACAAATGTTTTACCAGGTCTTAGGAAAGCATAGCACTGTGAGCCAGTGCAAAGTTTAAGATGCTTGAAGCCAGCTAGCTTCAGTTTCTTCTTCAAGTCACAATCCACATTAACACATCCCCCACATTCTCAGGCTCCTAGACCCCCTACATGTGCATTTTTTTATTTCTTGCCTTCAAGAGATTCTGAGCTCCAGTCACTCATTAAACTAAAGCTCCAAATCCCATCATTTGGCATGCATATGGACAAGCATTCACAGGAGAAGATCTCAGCTGAAATAACTGCAGAAAATTGCATCTGACCTTCCATCCTCTCTCCTCCTGGAGGACTGAGCCAAGACTTGTGGAGGAGTGCCATCACATTTTCCTGATTCCCAGTTAATCCTTGGGGCTGTAACTGTGCCCAAATCCTCTGTGCTCTCAGTAGCTCAGCATCTGCCTCCAAGTTCCTTATCCCCAGCTTCTGAAGACATTTGGCACAGCCAAAGATGGAAATTGTCTGCAAAAGGAGGTTGCCAAGGCAGCAACATAAATTTTGCTCACACTCTTGAGCATGGAGCAAAATGTATGCTGGATTTTGCAGCAATGGAGATCCCTTCCAGGATTTTGAACACTGCTGAACTTTGCTGCACAGTCAGAAGTCAAACCACAGCCACCTGGGTCCAACCATGCTAAGTCAGAACTGATGAGATTTCAGCATGGCACAGAACAATACTCTTTGGGCAGGAAAAGTAAAGGAGGTCAGTCCTGGGTTTGTTTATTTGTTTGTTTAAGAATCTATTTATTTTATAATTGACAGTTGATCATTTTTATTGGCTTAAAGTAACTTGCCAGGAATAAAAACAAGTTTCTCTTTCTTTTCTTCACAACAAGGAGATGCCAAACAAGTGGTTTTATGCTCAGAAGAGCCTCAGAGGTCTCTGCTGAATTGATTGACCGTGGTTCAAACCAGTGTGCAGCACAGCCACTGAGGGAGAAACAGAACAAGGAGTCAGAGCATCAGGAAGGTCCAATAGTAAAAGATTTTAAAATCATAGAAAATTTGGGGATTTAGAAAGAAAGCTACACTTAGTAGGCCCTGGGAAATTGTTAAAAGTAGCCCCTGGGAAACACTAGGCCTTGTGTTAGCCAGATCATGTGAAATTGCACCTGCGTAACCAGTATATGATAAATTATATAATTGTTAGATGTGATGATTGTTTAATTGTAAGAAGAATCATGAGAAACTATGTTCAAGGGTTTGGGGGGGATCACAAGAAACCTATGCTTGGATGAAATCAATGTATGCAATAGAACAATGTAAGTTTAATAATTAATATGTAAGTTATATAATGATAGAATATAAAAACATGTTCATCCCGAACCCATGGCAGAGTCAGATTTGGTCTGTACCCCTGACACCCAGAGCTCTTCAATAAAAGCACCTGCATATAATCATTCTGTGATTATGTGTTCCTGAACGCTAACAGGTCTACAGGATGCCACTGGGGCACTCTTCCACGGGCCTCTAGGAGAACAAGCTGGCAAAGGCTGGAATTGCATTTTTATCTTTTATATGTGTAGGATCCATCTGCTCTTGAACTTCAGGGAAATCTACTGCCAGGATCAAACTCAAACCTTGCAAGTAGGGTCTCTTCCAAAGGAAGATGAGTTCTGCAGGGCAAGCTGGAGAAAGCTTCAACTTTTAACCTTGAAACCTCTAGGGTGGGAGTATGCCATGTACAATTTCTGCTATATTTAACTAACTATGACTGAGGGTCACAGGGCTTTCTAGCCATTCTCCTTCCTTCAAGCCAGTCTTCAGCTGAGAGGACTAATTGGAAGGACCTCTTGGAGCTCCTTCCAGCTGTTTTCTGAGATATATTTGTATTCTTCAATGGGAAGGCTCAAGCTGATTGCTTTTACAACAGCTTCAACAGGAAAAAATTACATTAAAAACAATGTGGGAAGAAAAAAGACCTGGCATCTTAAAAGGTTTCTTCTAATTCTGGCAGGTTGATCAGTACATTCTCTGCCAGAAAGAAGAGTTCCCTGCTGTGTGTTTTCTAATGAATTGACCACTGCCCTCAAAAAGGAGATAGTGAAATGCACTGTGTAAGCACTTTCTCCATCAGCCTTTGGACTTTTGAAAGTATCTTTATTTTTTTGCTCGTATAAAGGTAAAAGTTCATTCTACTAATTTAGATAGGCCTTGTGGGCTGAAGAACATTTTCACATAAACAAACTTGCCCTTTGAATCACTACCATGTTTCTCTTACAACAATGATTAAATCACTTACAATAGTGATTTAAAATAAGTGTGTTTTAGTGTGGTCTACTGCTACAGTTGGATCAGGTGGTATTTCAATCTGACCAGCAGAGAGATCTGGATGACTCCATTCTTGTCTTTGTACAGGAGATGAAACAAAGAAGAGTGGGGGAAAAAAATGGATATAAACCACAGACTTTGGCATGTAGAGAATCGCTGCCCAACAAAATGTAAAAGCTTGGTCTGGCCATGATCTACTGGAAATTTAGACTGGTTCTGTCAGATAATATTACAGTGGTTCTTCTTTCTTCTTACAAATAATTTCTAAGCTGCTTCATGTGGTGGAATAGACCTACAGCAGCAAAATGGAAGTTGGCAGGAGGACAACTATAAAATCTGATGTGGTGGCATCTGGCATGATCTGAGGACAAACCTGTAAATCAGGTCTGAGTAAGGACTGCAAGTGATAAATGGTCCCATTTGTCAGAGCTGCGACAATGTGGGGGCCAGAGCACTGACCATAAGTTGCTGATGACTGTAAAGCACAAGAGAATGGTGTGTTATGGAAACGTGTCCCATAGTCCCCATGGGCATTCAGACAGAAAGGCTTTTGCTATTTCTCTGCTGCTTCCTCTGACTCAATTTTGCTGGCACGCTGACCTTTCCATGCAATTTGCTACATTCACAGCTAAAAGACACCAAATACCTAAGGCAACCCCAAAGCTTTCAGCAATTTCCCTTGGGCACTCACTGAACAGGGTCTCCAGGTGGATCATGCAGGCCACAAAGCCATCAAAGTTGATGGTCAGCTTGGTGCTGCAGGCGTAGCAGGTGACAACGCTGTGCTGCACCTCATCTTTGAGCCTGAAACCTGAGGGCCAGGAGAGGACAGGAGTCACTGACACAGCAGTGTTAAAATTTACTGTCTTGGATGTGACTTATCCGTGGACTGCTGCAGCTGCAGGTTGAAGGGCAGGATTGTTCCTCCCAGAAGGTCTGTTGGACTTCCACACCCACCTCTGTGGGTCCTTTCCAAAGCCAGTTTTGCTGGCTGAAGAGAGGCATAGAGTTCTCCTACAGAATTTTGTCAGACTGCATAATTCACATTGTTTTACAGTATAACCAGTCCTACGTTCCCCAGCTAAACCCCTAATTAGCGAGTCTTGGCACTGCAGCTGAATAGCAGTGATTGAGACAGAGCCAATTGCTCACATAACACATTGGGATCTATTCAAGCTCATATTCGTGTTATTTCTGTCTGGATCATTCACATAAAATCCACTGAGCACAAGACAAATAAAAAAAACTCCCAAACCAGTGCTCCTCTAGACGTCCCTTAGGTGGCAAGCTCTGTTCCAAAAGTGACATCAGAAAGGACATCATTGGAGCATGCCTTGATCAGGCTTGCACTTTCTCCAGAGGAGAGAAATGAAGGAAAAAGAGGGTGGGAGGAAATGAAGGAAGAAGAGGGTTTGGGTGTAGCTCTGAAAGAGGATTATTAGATTAGGAAATAATGAGGCCAAAAATAGAGCAAGTAATAATCAGATGCATAAGCAATGGTCACAGCATGGACAAAAGTACCAGTGGTTCAAAACGCAGAACAGAGGATGGGGTTTGATGTGTGAAACAGCAAAAGGATTGCAGTGTGTGACTGTCAGGAAGGCAGAATGTCACTGGAAATGCTGTGATCTACGTGACAGGAGAGAAGAAGAGCTGTTAAAACGCTCCGCTGTTCTCCCAGTGTTTGGTGATCTAATCCCCAAGCAGCACACTCATCTGCCTTTCTGAGGGCATTTTGCATCTTGTGGGAGTTGATGGCACCAGAGTAGTCACTGTCCACTTTCTTATAGATTGCCTGTGGCAAAGAGAAAGGAGGGAATGGAAGAGGGGACTCGAGTGTATGCCCCTGCAAGCAATGCTGTGGTGTGGGCACCAGAGGCAGGCTGGGCTTGCATAGCTGGCTCACAGCACCTATGAAGTTGTGGTAACACAGGTCTCATCAGGGGCTACAAGCCACAATGAACTACTCAGAGGGCTCCTCTAGGCTTTAACCTTGGTTTGCTAGCCCACCATGCCCTGCCATTGTCCCTGCTCATGTAGCTAACCAGTGCCAGGACAATCATTCCTACCTCTGCCATGTTCACACTGTCACTGCTGTGCCCACTGATGGCTGGGACAGGGACTGCCCTACCACCACACGTTCCTACTCTTTGAAACATAACGAACAAGAGAAACACTTCAAGCGACAAGTGGCAAGCCAGGCAGAGTGGGAAACACGTTCCCCTGGGCTGGCAGCTTGCCTGCCTTCACATTACATGGTGGCAGACAGGTCATTGAGGAAAATATCCTATCATTTGGCAAACACTACAACAGACCAAGTCCATCTTGCTCAATGTTTCAGACAAGATGACAGATGCCTCCTACTGCCAGCAGGTCTATTATCCAGAATTAGAAGCCACCCAGACCTAGAGTTAATAGTGGATTTTGGTCTCAAGGCTTGCTTTTCTGACAAGCCTTAGGGCAGAGATGTGTCTTCATGAACCCAGTATTTCTTCATAGAACTCCAGGGCAGATGCTCTGTGATGAACAACATCAAGTATGGTGGCAGCAGGCTTGCCTGAAAGGGACGTGGTCACACCAGGAAAGTCCAACTCTAACCTTCCTTTTGACCGCTTCGTTCTGGGTGAACTTCTTGGAATATTAACTCCTCTATCAAAAAAAAAAATAAAATAAAATTCAACAGTTCTACAAGATTTCAAAAATACAAAGGCAGTTTTTTCTAGTCTTAAAAATATGTTTCTTGTGTTTGCTTATGCTCAGCCAGCAGTGCAATATATTGCAACAGCCAAAATGTTCATATGAGCTTTAATAGAGCAGGCAGCAGAAAGAGCTGTCTTTGCCAATAATCAAAGAGAGTTATCTGTCTTTCTGTAAGGTATTGCAAATTATGGAGAATTATGGGGCCAAGGTGAAAGAGGATTTGGTTGTGCCCTGTTGAGTGAGGGGTGTTTCAGAGCCCTGGAACGAATTCAAACCCTGAGAAGGAAGGCTTGCAATTATATCTGCCTGTGAGGGTTTAACTCGATCTCAGTTCTGGATCTGTACTTCAGAGCTGAGAGGGAAGGGAAGGGGATAGAGTCAGAAATGTTGTTACCAAATACTTTTGAATCTTCATCCAAAGTGTCTTGAATTCTACAAGTCCCAAGGTGCTGGTCCCATCGGTCTGGGTCGTGTTAAGGCATGGTTCACAAATCAGGATTCCTTCATCGTTAGCAAAATTGGAGTGTAAAGACAATAGTTGGATTGTGCGACAGTGGAGAGCAATCTGGAGAGCAGTTCTGATAAAAACAAATCACTCATCACAGTGTCATCTTAATGCCAGTTTAGTTCTCATTTGTAACGCATCTCCATCTCCCACAGACATGCCCACAGCTTCACATTTGCTTGGCTAAAGGCATGACAAGAATTTCTAGGCTATCTTCACTCTCAAGGAATGATATATGGGATTGCTAAATATATAAGCAAGATTAAAGGCATTCACATTTTGGACACTTAACAGTAGATTGGATTTCACCTTAGGGGGAAAAGAGCCTGGCCTTGCAGCAAACAATTGTTAGAAACCAGAGGCAGGAGCTGCAAGTGAAGAGAGTCAGTAGCTGCCTACAAAATCCTGTCCCATGTCCTTTAGGGCTTTGAATATCCCTTCCAATGGAAAATTATTCAGAAACAGGGATTTGGACACTGTGACATTGTACTTACTGAGTTTCCCCATTAAGCTTGGGGGCCTATGGAGTGTAGGGCAATGGCATCACTTCTCATCACTTCTCCTAATAGCCAGTTATTCACAAGATCCACAGTGAATCTCTCCTAGCCTCAATATGGCCATGCCATGACACCAACACCAGTGAGATCCTGGCAGCATGGGTCATCACCACCCCCAGTGCAAAGGAGCACCTCTCAACTGGGTAGAGGTGTTGACCTCCCTTTTTCCTTTGGCTACACAAACCTGGGCAGAGGTGTTGACCTCTCCTTTTCCCTTGGCTACACAAACCTTATAAGCTCCCAAGTATCCCCCAGCTATGCAGAAGGGAGGCAGGACCTGCCTGTACTTGCAGCCTTCCCCCTGAGAACAGGCTCAGCCCGTTCCTGCTGCTGTGAGCCCGGAGCTCTGTAAGCAGGACCCGACTCAGAAACAGAAGCTGTGGATGTGCTCAAAACCTGCATCCTGCCAAGCACGCTGTGTATGCACCTGGAACTACACAAGTGCAGCTAGGCAGAAAGGCCCTACTTCTCCCCACTATATTTAGGAAAATGTTTAAGCAATGAGAGATGGTGGTGAGAGAAGCAGCTGGTGATTAAATGGTTCATGTTTCTGCAACCATGAGCTGATAGAGATGCTTGGTTAAATTTTTTGCCCCCAGCCATGTGCCGGGACAACAGAAGTGTAAACTTAGCCCAGCTTGTCAGGAAGCTTTGCAAAGGAGATGCAGAAACTTTAAAGGTGATGAAATTACATTCAAAGGATACATCTAAAAGGCTGATCATCTCCCTGCAAGTGTTAATGCTGAATCTATCACTTTTCACATCCTTTCCTGTACAAAAAGGAAATATAAAAGTCTAAGTGAGAAATAGTTTAAGACAAATATTTTTCTGCAGACAATGCTGAAGATACCAACCACCTTAAGATCTTGGTAGCAAAGCAAATGCTCTGCCATCTCTTCCATAATGTTCTTTCAGTTGATTAATATGTTTTTTGTTTTGGTTTGGTTTGGTTTTTTTTCCACAGTGGGAGGGGATGTTATTTGTTTTGGTGGTGATAAGCCTCTATCTGTCCACAGAAGTCATGCAGCAGCAGCATAATAACACTGTCCATTGGTGGTCCTCCTGGAAAAGTACAGGGAATGTTGTACCTCTGCAGAACATCTGCTGGCAGCATTTGGAAGGGAAGCACCAGGCACTATTTCCACCCCATATTTAGAGGTTCGACAAACCAGGAGAAATTCAGCTGGGACCAGACAAAAACTCTGTTTTTCATCATCCCTAGCTGACAGAGCTGGGTTTTGTTAGCACAGACCCTGTTCTCAGCTCCATCCAATGGGAAGTATGTAATGTCACTCACTCTTCACAAAAACCCGGTTTAGGATCCTTTGAAGTTCAGTGGCAGTCTTTTCACAGTCCCAGACAGAAAACAAAACATACTGTCAGTGTTAACACAAAAATTATTTGAAGCAAGCTCTATTGGTGTGCTATCAGACATCCAGAGACTATTTTCTTTCCAAATCTAAGACATGTAAATGCTTAATTTTTTTCTAACCCTTCACATTTACCCTCAGATATCAGAGGGACAAGATCTTCAAAACCAATCAGATTTCCTAGACACTCAACCAGGAAATAAGTGGTTTGTTAGGTGCTATGGTGACATGATCAAGTAAATGGCAACTTTTTTAAATGTTTGACTGAAAAAAAAGTTTCAGGAAAACATTTGAGATTTTCAGGACTTACAGAAACTACAACCAAACAACTCTAAAATTGCCATCTGAAAAAGACTCAGAATGGTCTTCCCAACTAAAAAGATGTTTTCCCTCTCCAGTAACAGTGGCCACCTGTTTATTAAGAGGAAACTTGACATGACAGCCAAAGGCTAACACAGCAGGACTTTATAGATACTGTTTTTCAAATACATTAAGTAGAGAAAAAGCCCAGCCAACAGGTTTTTGATTCCTGGGGCTAAACAAAAAGGAAGGAATTGGCCAGCCAAGCAATTGTCAGAATTATATGATAACTCCACAGGTAATTTATTTCACCCTGGGATAATATTTTCACAATCCTCACTCATATCGCCGCTATTTTCAAAGTTGTTCCCAGCCTTGCACAGCCAAGGGGAAAAAAAAAATCACATTTTGCACCAATGAGAGGAACAATGTTGAAAATCTTCTCTATTGTCAAATAAACTGAACTGAAGCTATGAGTTAATAAAAGGGGAGAAATACTTGGTTTTTTTAACAGTCAGTAAAAGGAATTGGTAAATCAAATATTTGTATAATCGTAACAGAGAGGTCTCAGGTTTTTTTGTTCAATTTAATCCACTTACCTCTCCAGAGAGCTTTTGGAATAGAGTCTTGAACTCATCATCTATATCTTTGTTGTCAGCATGAGGCTAGAGGAAAGGGATGGCCAAGAGAGTGGTTAATAAGGTTCTAGGAAGTGAGCTGTGTATATTGTAAAGATGCTGTACAGGGGCTTATTTACAGCAACAGAAAATGAGCATGTGCTCTGCAGCAATGGCAAAACAGAGGCACTACTTTAGTCATGGCCAGCCAGGGGCTGGCTTAGTTTGAGAGCAAATACTTCCTAAGGCTGGTGAGATAGTTTTTATCTGTTACCAAGACAGCATTAGAAAATAGCAACAGTAAAAATGTTGCTGTATTTGGCCAGAGCAATTCAGCAGCTCCTTGGAAGCCTTTTACAGCTTCTCCCAGGCTTCAGGAAGACTATTTGTTTCTATAGAAATGTGCTCTCTCCACCTTCTCCTACCCATGCAGGAGGTAAGGACAATCATACGTGTTCCAGTTCAGTCTACAAGGGTGAAGTCTCTGTGCCACATGGCCCATGTACATAAAAATGAACGTGAAACTAAGACATGGACATATGTAAAACATTCCCACACACAAAAAATATTTCTCCTCAGCACAAAAGCATTCTGTAATCCCAGCTCGAATAAGAAAAAAAATCATGCCCCTGTTTTACTTCCACATTATGAAGGAAAACTCTGTCCAGTTAGGTCGTCTAACCTCATATGGCTTTGCAGACACCTCATCACCCATCATTTTTCCTAAGGAAAGAAAGAAAACTGTAAAACAACCAGAAATTATGAGTCTACTTTAAAGTCTTGCCTTTAAAATAATTAGGGGGGGAAAAAAAGCGCAAAAGCTGTTTAACTATAAGATGTTAATAAATGCACAGAACAAGCCCCCAAGTTTCCTGCTTTCCATGCTCCACATCCCACCTCTGCCTGCCCCAGCTCTTTGAAGATATTTTCCACGGGAAATGCAGCCTTGCTGTTCTTGTCTTCCATCCAGACTCCTGCTTTTTCATCTAATGGATGCCATTGATACAACCCCTTTTAAAACCATCTTATCATCATCATAGTCTCAAATCCTGCACTCTTTCATTGTGGGAACTTCTCCTTCATGGAGCTGAGGGACCTTGTTCCCAGCTGAGTGCTTAGGGGACACCTCTGAAGAGCCATGACTCTGAAGAAGTATCTGCCATGGATGTGTGGTCACTATGGTAGACTGTAGAAAAAATGGGTTGTGGAAATGGGCCTATTTTGCTGGTTAGGACAAAAGATCAAGCCCAGGGTATGGATGCAACATGTGACCTTCTCCTTTGCGTGCCTCCCCAGAAGAATGGGAGGTTTTCAGGGAAGGTACTCACTGTGATTTAGCCTGATTCTCAGCAAAAACTCTCAGTCAGAACTCCCCATTCTTGTAGGGTTGAAAGGTGGAGGGCACAATGAGGTACTGTCTCCAGGACAGCATCACGCAGCTGGAGACCTCACACAGGTTCACATAGGGGTCAGTCCAGGCTGCTGGCTGGTGCCTTGCAAAGAAAGCATGGCTTGCGTGCACATCTGTGCTGCTTTCCAGCTGTGGAGAATGTGGTTTTGTCAGAAACCCTTTGGCAGTTCCCTGGTAAGCCAGCCACCTTATTTCAGTTTCAGTGCTTCAAAGCCATCTCAAGTTTTCATTGAGTAAAATAATAAATCCGTGAAGGATGGTACAAAAGAAAGCCACCAGGGTTCTGTCATGGGAAACAGGCAGATGGTTAGGAGGGGCAAAGGTCTTCCTCTATAAAGATTATCTTTTCACATGACTCTTTACACTTGGGACTATAAAATAAATAAAAGTATCATAATGTGTACTTATATCTGATCAAATCACTACACTCTAAATTTTCCATGCATTGAGCATTTTTTGCTAGCTTATGGACTAATTTGATTTTCAGAATATTGTTTAGGAATTTATGGTATCAAATAAACCTCCCAATTGCTTAGGAATTGTAGTCTTTGACTTCTTTAAATAGACACAAAAAAAAATAGTAAACAAAACAAAGTAGTAGTCACAAGGGTGAGACTTTTGGGGCCACATTAGGTGATTTGCCCAACTTCTATTAGTAATACTAAGGGTATACATTTGGATTTTGTAGGAAACAGTACTTAAATTTTCCTTGATACCAATATACTCTGTAGGAAGTTAAACATTGCACAGTTCAAAAAATAAAACACTGACATAAGAAGGAACAGTAGTGTAAGAACAACATCCCTGCTATAAAACTCCTATTCATGACTTTTGGTCCACAAAAATGTCTTTCAAAAAGTATGATTCAGTGACACACAGAAAATGCTGTGTAGCTGATGCAGGATGGGAAGCATCATTTAGGGATAAGGTTTCTGTCTGTCTAAGACCAGAGCACACAAAAAAAATCTTAACAAACCTTGTATAATCATTCAGGTTTTCTGTTGTAAACTGTAGAAAAATATGCATGATTTTCCTCTTTTGTTCTGAGATGAGATTGAATTTGGTATTTATTCAACAGCCCCATCCTTTCCCCTCACTCAATATTAAGCTAAGTGGGACTGCAAAGGTTGAGAAGACAGATCCATATCTTCCCCAATATATAAAGTTAATTTTCCCTTTGCATTTGCAAGGGTGCTAAAAGAGCACATTTAATTGTTACATGGCCACATGTTCATTTACTGAGAGAGGAAAAGGGCTGAAAAGCCAAGGAAAAATTAGCAGCATAGGCTGCTGGGCCTCAGGAATAGGTGTAGGGTATTCCTACTGCCAGACACCCATGGGGTCTCTTTCTTCAGCAATGAAGTCTCTTTGCCTCAGTATTGACATCTGGGGGGATTAGGGAAGGTTGAGCAGGGCTTGTTCATTACCAGGAGCCTCAGCTCAGAACTGTTAAGAACAGATCCACAGAGCTTGGCATTTCTTCTAAACAATATTAGCTACATTTTTGCAGTTTTGGAGTCCAGGGGTCCTGTTCTGCCTTCACCTGAACTAAACAGACAAATTCTGACCTCGGTTATACAAACTTCCTGGAAGCCAAGTTTCAACAAGTATAAATGAGATCAAGACTGGGAGTCAGACATCTGTAATAAAGCCTCGTGGCCTAGTCCCTTGAAAATGATTATTCAGAACTTGAGATATTGATCCAGTGATTCAAGGGCAAAGTTCTCCATAAAAGATATCATTCATAAGAAAGAAGTCATTGTGGCAGCTAAATTCTCCAGTGCAAGAGGAGGTGCCCATGTGGAGGCTGGAAGTCTTCAGCAGAAACTACATACCTCCTGAGGAATCTGGAAGGAAGAGAAAGAGACAATATTAAAGTGCTGCTATATACCTGCACCTACCAGTAGGAAAAAAAAAAATCAGATAAAGCCTACTTCAGACACTTTTTGAAAAAAATGTTCACTGACAACCGCATATAATAGTATCAGATACACATTAAATTGTCTTTTCCTCGAGCTGTTCCAAAGGAAAAACTGTATCTTCGTCCAGAGAAATCTATAGCATATCAAATTGCTTTTCCCCTGATGTAGTGTTGTGAATGATACTGTTGGTTGGAAATATTTGACTAAGTCTTTAAATGCTCAGTCAGGAAAAGTCAACAAGTTTGTCCTACTTTGCTAACCTAAACTAGAGAGTTCATTACAGCAGACCCGAACTCCACTAGTCTACTGCTACTGAATATGATGAAAATATAAGGCTACGGTCACTATCAGTCAGCCTGGGGATGATGAGATTGTTGGGAGGCAACTATAACAAGTTGCAAGTTTCAATATTTGGCTCTTCCTAAATTAACTGAATTGCTATGTTAACGTGTACCTCCAAATATAAGGCAAATTTTCCAAAAGCAATGAGTTGTCTTGAGGTCACAGATTCCAGTGAGAGCCAAAGAGAGGGTCCTCCCAATTCCCAAAAGATTTATTGCAAACATCACCCCTACAATGTTTGTGGAGCCTGAGTGGCCCCTTGAGACTTCAGGGTCTCTTGTTGCCTATAACCAGCACACTGGGGCAGCAAGGGCAGGGGTTGGGTGATGGAAACACAGTTGTTGTCAGCGGGCAGATACACGACTTAGAAAAGCTCTGCAGAGCAGGTAGACAGACTTGAACACACATCTTTCCACCTTCTTCTGCACAGAGATCTGCTTTAGGTTATCATCTCTGTAGTCCTAACTGGAGCTGCCCAGCCACAGCATCAGCTGCGATGAAGTAAACCTACTACAGTGTGTGATCCAAGGGAGCTGGGATCATAGCTGGGTCATAGCCTACCTGAGATGACTTAGCAGCCAGGTTTTTTTAAAAAAATTAACACCTTAAAAGTCACTTAAGTGACTTAAGAGTCAGCAAGTCTACCCTACTGTGGGTGAGGCCACAGAGGACACAGATAGGATGGAATAGATGTAAAGCACAAGGAGTTCTCCACTGTTACACTCAGTGATGAGAGCAGATAGACATCCGTAATGCACGAATTTGGGATGCTGATAGGTGAGCGTGCCTGGTACCACAAAGAAGGCAACTCAGAAATGTGCTCAGTGTGTGCATGTGCGCACTGGGCACTAGGGAAAACCTTCTGCAATTTCAAGCCAAACCACACAAGGTCTATTAGCAAAAGCCAGCAGTTTCCATCTGCTCCACCTGTGCTGGATAATGATCTTCATCCAGTGGAGTCTGTACAGCATTTAATTGCTTTTCTTCACATATCATATTGGTCATGATGATACTGATTGGAAATTTTACATTTGCTTCTCTCCCCTCACGCCACAGGAATTAGAGATTACACTGTAGGTTTTTTCCTTACATTTTTAGAAACACTGGGAAAATCAGGGAAAACAAAGCCCTGAATTTACTGAATCAGAACAGTATAGCATATGACAGACAATGGATTTAAAAAAAGACATTTGAAATACAAAGGAAAAATAGTAACAAAAAGAAAGTGAAAACTGAAGGCTAATGATAGGCTGTAATCAGAAGCACTTATGTGGAATTGCCAGGCACCCCAAGCCTGTCCCCATTCAGATTTTGTAAAAAAAGATTCTCAATGAGACTGTTACTAAATTACAGGCTCAATAATTTACACTGCTATCCTGTTGAAGTGGGAAAAAAATGAGCCTCAATTAATCTGAGTCTTCCCATATTATGGGGGTCAGGAAGAAACAAGAGAAGTAATTGAATAATTCTTCAAAATCCAGATCTTATTGAAGTGTAGTGCTGAATGTTAAGATGTAGCACTCTGCTAATTTTTTCCAGCTTAACAGGACAAGGAATACAGTCTTTAAAATGAGGAACAAATTTTATCTGATAGAGTGAATAACCAATACTAAGCAGACCTTCTCCCATTCTCTTCTGTCTCCTGTGGTTCTTCTGCATCAAGCCCACCAGAATGGTACAGCATGGCTCATTCAAACTCCCTTCATGGTCATCATCTGGTTCATCCAACTGGATTTTAAACTGGGGATTGGTCCAGTATGTTGCCAAGAATTCCCAACAGGAGACAAAAAGGAGGAGGCTTTGCTGCCATTGCAATTGTCATTGCAATCAAGATGGCTGTCACTAGGTTGCAGAGAATATCTCCCTGGAAGGACTTTTGCCTGGAGTTTTTCCAGTTCTTTCCATTGAGTTTTATGGGTTTATGTTTTCACAGCTATGCTGAGTGTCATCTGGAGCCATGAGAAATCAATGCACCAGGGTATCTCCTGGGACTAAATACCAACAGGGAGAAGCTGATACTGTTAATTCCAGCCAGTTATGTATCTCCAGGAAATGTCCTTGGCTGAGGCTCTTATTGTTGCAAGAGGACCAAATGCCAGACAGCCTCTCCAGAGGTCTAACCTGAAAACAAATTGGAAATAACAGTACCACTGAACTGCGACACTTTCCTGGCCTATCCAACCCTTCAGAAGATTACTCCAGTGAGTAGCAAAAGTCATGTAAGAAGGAAAAGCAGACAGAGAAACAAAAATATTGCCACAAATTAACTGCTTGGTGCACTGGTAATCCCCCATAAGAAAATAAGTGTGAATTAAATCTTCATTCAAACTCCCAGGCTTTTGCTTACTATCTAAACCCCACAGATATTGTCGCACCCCCAAGCTCTTTTTTTCCCACCAAAGCCCCGTCCAGCCCACAAGCAGTTTTTGAATGTTTTGTTTGGTATTTCACTAAAGGCCCATTTGGTTGGGTCCTTACCTGGGTAATTCTGGCAGCCCCCAGCAGATGAACCCCATCTCCACTGTCCATTAAACAGGGTCAGGTTCCATTTGTTGACCTTGTTTCTTTTCAGTATGTCAGGAGTCAAATTGCAGATCTCAAGGTGACTAAACTGCCTTTGGAAATCTGAAAATGCCATCTTGGCATACAAAGAGACAGGCTAGTCTATCAGCCTGCAATAGATGAAGTAGCTGAGGCTGGACACTTTTCCCAATGGTGTTGACACTTTTTCCAACAGTGTCCAAAGCTGCATTTAATTGAATTCTGAAACTTGGAACTGGCTTTTGGAAAAGAAAATTGCCCACTGCCTGAATGAACTGTATCTTCTGGAGACAGCCTCTGTCCATGGCTGTTACACATTTTGGGCTCGGTCAAACCATTTTCTGTCATCCCCAGCTGAGGGCAATCCCCCATGGATCATGTTCCATAAACAAATTCACTGGAACTGGTGAAACAATATGTGTGAGGAGATCCCATTTAAAGGGAGTAAGATCTGGCCCTTGAGAAAGCATCACTCTGTAGGAAAACAGTCTCAGTTTGGTGTTTTGCTTAATTCCTATCATTGATGTTTGTTTTTACCATTCCTGGTATATTTGCATGAGTGAGAGAGCTTGATTGCTCCATCCTGCTAGCAGAGGTCTGCTCTCATTTCCTAGTGCCTGATGGCCCATGCAGCTGATTGCACTGGAGGGCAGTGGCCATTTATCTTTTCACGCTAGGACAGAGTGACATCAGTTCAGCACTGATTCATATATAAAAAGATCAGGATTAGGACAGGCTTTCTATTAGGTCTGAGTAAACAGACTCTTCCCAAGCTGGTAATCTGAACTTTTTCATTAGCATGTAGCATTTAGGCAAAAAAACCAAATCTCAAAATGTAGAGTACCTCAGGTTCATTCTTGCCACCTCATTAATTTTATTACCATCTGGTCTCTATATTTTGGATTAGTGCTGAGTTATGCAAGCTCTAATAAAAGGAAATATTTGAATAGGAAAGGAGATAAATAAAAGGCTAACAATGCCTGCACTTCATTATTAACCCCCTCGGTGCTGGCAGTTTTCTCCATCCAATTGAAAGGATTGCTTAAGGCACATAAAATGTCCAAAAGAGTAAGCTTAATAAACAACTCTCACCAAAACTCTCCATCATCTACTTGCTTATCCAGAGCCTGTTTTTGTTTGGGATCAACATAATTCCACTCATGAGCACTGCAGACAAAGCACAAAAACACTCTGTTCAGCTGTTGCATTTTATTGTACAGTGAGATCTGAGTTAGATTCTATTGTGGGCTGATAAAGGAGTATATATTTCTTCAACAAATAGATCTTGTGCCCCTCCAAATGACAGCACACCCTGCAACCTGACTGTGCCAGGCTGGAATTAGACTGCAACAGTATTTGCAACTAAACCTTGTATTGCCCCTGCCAGGTGCCAGAAGGTACAAACAGACTGGCTGGATTAGGAAATTTACAGTCTGAAAATCAGTCAGAGCTTCTGCATTTTAGGATATATTGGGGTGCCTGATATCCTCCCTATGGAAATGATACAACCTCCATTGTTGGGGGTCTTGAAGGAACAGGAAAGCAGAAAGGTCAAATCAGAAAATTTACTGCAGAAAACAGCATTGCTCCTTTGCCATTCTGATATTAATGTGCTCAGGATGGATTCTGCTCTGATCTGCTCCCATGTGACAATGCAGTGCTGCACCTGCCTCAGCAAGGTTGTCCCATGGTAAAAAAGGTGTGACAAAACCAGGATATGGCATATGTGTGTGCCTGAGGCACCTTATCTTGGGACTCAGCAAGGCAGCTCTGATAAAAATAAAATTAATTGTAATGTTATCTCTATCCTTAATTATGATAAATCAGCACCCAGGCTATAGTCAGTCAGGACAGGAAACTGAAATCTCAAAGTGTTGCATGAAAAAATATATTGTGGCTCAAATGACAGTAAAATTTAAGCCATTCTAAATATAAAAATTAAAGAGGTGTTGTCGCTACCATGCTCCCAAGACAGTTGAAGCCCAGAGAGTTTCTGAGAGATTTTTAAATTCTTGTGTCTGTATCTTAGTCAGCATCCCAACTTTTTCGAGATTCTCAGATAGGTACCAAATTCTGGTGTGATTTAGAGCTGAGCAACCCTAGAGTCCAAACAGAAGTATAATGGTTTATCCCTGCTTTAACTCCCAGGAACAGGACCTGTTTGTATATTTTACTTAGGTCTTGGAACTCATTGGTAGGATCAATTTGAGAAAAACTGTCTTGCAAAATGACATGAATGTGGCTTGCATGGGGCTTCTCAGAGGAGTCAAACAAAGGACTGTTGTCTCTGATGAGAAAGCTCCGCCTGAGGCAGTATTAATGCCCGCTGGAAAGAATGGATTGATATCCAACATTGGTAATAAATTAACAGTGTTTTATTCCGACTGATTTAGTATCTCTCCTAAGTACACTTTGTGATTGGATTGACTGCATTGTTCCAATTTAATTTTTAATAGATTCCAAAATACACCAAAGAGAGAGAAGCAGAGGCATATAAAAACCTATTTATCACTCCAAGATCCAGTCCATTCTACTTCACCCCAGGGATTCCTAAGCCTCACTACTTTCTCTGGCTGTCCTTGGTAACACACCTAAAAGATCCAGAACAAACAGAGCCTGAGCACTTCCATTTTTCCAATCATCAGAGGGCAATTGCTTTTCAGATAGGATAAAACATGTTTTGTACTTGAGTGATGCAGTCCATTACAATTGGCAATAGTTAAAAGACACCTAGCTGCCTTCCACCCTTATTTGACATTATCCTGTGCCACCAAGTAAGCCATTAGCTGCAGCATTCACCATTTCATATAATGACAGCAACCTGCAAGGAAAATCATCAGCTACAAACCAGCAGAATATCTACATCCTCAAAAGCACAAAACATTGCACAACACAGCAAGGTTGGAAGGAGGTTATCTGGCATGGGCATCTGTGTAATGATTCCAGCTTCAGAGGAGCAGGAATACCTGGGCAGAGTTCATCAAAGAGGCTTTTACTCTTTTCCCATCAGCTCTGACTGGGAAAGTGCTTGCTCCCATCTCACACAACATAAACAATGGGGAATGGCTGCCTCCTCTCCTGTTCTTCCTTTCTGTACCCTGAATTTTGGTAACAGCTTGGCCCACCTCTACACTTTCTACCCCAGCCTGTTGATACTATACAAGTGGCAGACTGCACAGTGTGCTCCACACCACTACCTGTACAGAGCATCTGACCTGTCTGAGTGCTACAGACACGGACATTTGGCATATACATGCTATAGACATTTTTCTATATGAATGTATGTAAGTTCGGACCATTTTTATGGTCAGTCAATGAAAGACATCAGAAAGTTGAAGGTGCTGCAATGTTGCAGCCCCAAGCTGGTTTGCATGGTGGCCTCAGAGAGGCTGGATTATCTCCTCTGCTCCAGTGATTATGTCCTTTTTACCAGCTTCAGACTTGTGATTACTTCTATTTCAGCTGTAGCAGTTATCTGGAGCAATAAAATCATGCACATTTATGATTATATGTTGTGTATGAACTCAGCTTTCATAAGCAAATTAATATGCAGGAAGATATCCAAAGTGGTGTGCACAATGAATACCAATATTCTTGATGCAAAGTATATTAAATTAAGGTGAGATCCACAGCAAAAGCTGCAGTTTCAGCTGCCCTTAAGACTGCCCCTTAATATGCAGTCCAAGCACAGAAGAAATTCAAGAATGTACAGTGAAATCTAAATCTTAAACCAATTCCCAGCTCAGGTGACAGACCCAGTCACCTGCTAAGACATGTTCACATGAACTTAGCTCTAGCCTGTCTCAGACAAGATCCAATATAGCAAAATTGGAACTCTGGTAATTCTGTATGCCACAATGCAAACAAGATAATGAAATAGGATGTGAAAGGTGTGAAGTTTTCAAAACATGTTCAAACATCTGTAACTTGAGAGTGTTTGTATTACAGGTGTCAGTAATCTTTAGGAATGAAAACCAGAGCCAGAATCAGACTACAGGCTACAACAAAGTGTCTCAGCAAGCTTGTCTCTGGCAGTCAAGTGCCTGGAGCTGAAATTACACAAAATTTGAATGAGAAATGATATTCAGAGAATGGAGTTCCTGAAGACCAGCAGATGGTTCACAGCTCTAAGTATTAGCACATGCTGTCATGTAAATAGGGAGACATGATGAGCATTGTTTATTTCGAACCTTGTCCAAATTTTTTGATACTGAAATCAATAAAGATCTCACATTAATTCAGTTTGCTCTTGTATCAGACCTTCCTACCCATGTCTTACATTGGTCTGGGCTTTTGTCACAGTGTGGGCCAGAGCCCTGAGAAGAGAAGCAGGGAGAATAAAGCTGTGTCAGCCTCTTACATCGATGGAGCAGCCAAGCAGTGACCCAGCTCTCAGGGCCTTCTGGATGGTTTGGTAGAGGTTTGAAGGAGCCCTCCACAGCTCATAGGAGTCAGAGATGCCTCCAATAAAATCCTCAAAGACCTCCACAGTGGAGCCTCCTGCCAGAGCTTCATAAGCGCCATTCAGTTTTGGGGGAAAAGGATAAGAGCTATACAAGGGTTCATCTCCACCTGCAAGCACAATGTCCCAGAGAAAGAAGGAGTTATCATTCAGTATATCTTAATCAGCTTGGTCATCAGTGTGACCTGGGGCAAGAAAATTGAAGCCTCTTGAAATACAGTTGGCAACACCCTTTATGGACCTAGAAGGAACTGTAGATTCTGAGTGGGAGGGAGGCTGCCTTAGAATGAAGTGTGTTGTGACTGACATCCCTGGTCTGGGCCACCAGCAGGGGCACAGCTGGGGGCACAGCTCTTGCCCAACCCCACACTTGGCGTAGGCCTTCTCCAGCAGCATGCTCCAGAATTTGTTGCCTTCCTCTGAGTGCACGAAGAGCAGCTTCGCATTCTTGGTGGGCAGCATGTCATCCAGCACCACATCCACCCACTCCCCATACTGCCAGAACTGAGGGAAAGAAGAAAGGAAAAGATGATGGAGACTGGTGTGCCCAAAATAGCTCCCTGCTACCATCCTCCTACCCCTTCAGCTGTCATCACTTCCCCCAGCATAAGCCACTGTAGTGTTACTCCTGAGCTGGATCGCTCCCCTTTGTAATAAAGACAAACTCCTCCCAGTTCTGGATCATTCAGCAGGCTTCTTCATGCTATAATAAATTTTGCTGGTAGGAAATATTAACAGCATCTTGTTGTACATAGCATCAAAAACACTCTCTGAACATGAAAACTGAGTTTACATGGTGGACAGCCCAGAAAGCCAGCATGGAGATAGGATACTCTGAACTATCTCTAGGCTCAAACCTTAAGGAAAAAAATATCAAAACAATATGCCAGTAAAAATGCCTGTAAGTAGAGGTCATCTAAAGGGCAAGCACTCAATAGTGCCAATCCCTTTTGCAAATGCTAGGAAATACATGAAATATGCTAGTGCTAAATTTTGGCCTTAAAGCTAGAAATGTTTACTCCAGGATTTGCTGCATTCCTGAAAGGAGAGATGATAATTCACACCAAAACACTCAAAGGTGAGCTGGTGGAAAGACTAGGTATGTGTTCTAAAACTTCTGTCCTCACCAGAACACCTCCTTTAGCAGGGTGAATCCACACTGCTCCCACCTGTGCCCAACCTCCAGTCAAAGCAGGTTGGATAAATCACAACACTCTGGCTCCACAGGCAAGGAAGTAAAGGCAAAGCAGGGAGGGAAAGGGAGGAAGCAGAAGGAACCACACTAGTCTGAATTCACTCTCAATTGCTGGCAGCAACAGAGCTTGGTTTGGGCTCATGCGGCCTGATGGTTCAGCTGAGTTTACAAAATCTGTATAATTCCCCAGAGCCCCATCAGCAGAACCTCACCAGTGAGTGAGCAGATCTCATTCAACATTATTTAACTCTGTTCTTATTTTCTTTCTCTCTCCCCCATCAATTTCACATACACACTGTAACTGTTGATTATTTTACGTGTTCCAAACAAAACAAAACAAGACAATAAACAAACAAAACAAAAAACCAGAGGGGAAAAAAAAAAGAAAAAATAAAAAGCTGTTTCTAGTTAAATACTAGCATTTTTCTTTTTTATTCTCATTCCCCTGATCATAGGGTACCTGGAAATGAAAGATTCCGGCATAGTCCTTCTGGAAACCCTGAGTCTTGGTTGCTTGCTGGCCTGGAAGTTTCCTCCCAGCCTCAGGTACTTACGTATAAAATAAGCAAAATTATAAGAGCACAAGGTGTGGGAAAAAAGGCTTTAAAAACGAATTGCCTAGGAGATGTAGATGCAGGAAAAATATGTGACTGAGAACACTCAGATCTTCTTTGTAGCTATTTCTTCGAGGCTTTCCTTGGTACAGCATATGTCTTAAGCTGTTGTAATTTCTGTTTTCCTTGAAGAGGTAGAAATAATGGTGATAAGTCTGGGGAATGGATTTTCAGAGGAGGAAGATGAAAAGCTGTATCAAGTCAGAACTGAAATCCTCATTTTTCTGATGCGCTGGCTGTCCCTGGCATGCTGTGAAGTGCAGAATATTATTTCTGAGAAGTTGGCATGGTGGGTGTCCCTGGTGTTCCTATTGTGTCCCTCCACCCTGTGAGACCAGAGAAGGCCTGCAGCAGTGACAAATTGGTGCTCTCCCAATGTGCAACATCTGGAATGGTTTCTCCTAAAATCCCGGCCAGGATTTTAAAGCCAGTGAGTGAGAAACTACTCCAGATTTTGCTGAGGATGCTGTATGTTGCATGAACAATTAGTCAGAAGATTTGGTGAAATGAGGGAAGTTTCCTTAAAAACGTTGTTTACTTCCTGACTCAGAACTAAACAATTTCATAATCTCAGCCCAGAGGATGCCAAATGCAGTGTGAAATCCTTCAAGGCACTCTTCTTACAACATGAATTAATTTCTTAGCACTTGGGAGAGTAAGCAACGTGAGTGCTGCTGCCTGTCTCCAACACACCAATGCAGTCTGACCTCCCAAGGAAGCATTTCAGGGCATGCCTGGGAAGGACTGTGTTGGAAGAATTGCAGTAGTGGACTTGGTCTTAAAAGCAGCCATGCCTTGCTTGAGCAGTGCAGAGTCCCGTCTCCAAACCTTACTTTCTGGGGCCTAATATCTTTGACTAAGCTTGTGTGAACCAAAAGGAAACATCTAGGAATTGGTTAGTAACTTGATAAAAATGGAAGTGTGTCTGAATGTACATGGTTTGGGGGCATCTTTGGATAGCAGAGATGCACGACATTAGGGCTCCTGTGATATTTACTTTCAGAGGATGTAGGAATCTGTCCATATCAAGAAGCTTCCATGACAGGGCCTAAACTGTGCAGTTGGCCTCTTACCTTCTTGTACACCATAATGGGATCCTAGCCTATTAATAAACCTTCTCAGCCCTACTGGATAATATATGACTAGCTCTAAAGAGTACAAATTAGCACATTCTGTTCCCTTTTTTGAAGTTCAACATCATTTTGCCAGTAGCGAGTTTCACAGTTTAGTTTGTGGTTGTGCCTACAGGACAGTGCAAGAGCACAAACTCCCCAGAAAGGCACCATATGTAGAGCTCTCACATTTGTTCTGATTCAGCTGCAGGTTATAAGTCATCTTTCACACTGTGAAGAAACTATTTTATTCCATTCCTAAAAAGGGAATTTTTTTGAGGGAGAGAAAAAGAGGTCAATTGACCAATTAATTAGAATGCATTTCAAATAGGCTTACAGCCAGAAAAATTACAATATGAAAAAGCAGTTCTGCTCACCGTATGGGTCTAAAGTTCCAGCACTATAGCTTATAAAAATAGCTTTTTTTCTTTAAAGCCTTCTCTATATTAACCCTGCAATTACTTAATGGACACATATCACTGCTTCTGTTCAGTCTCATATTTCATGAACAAAATTTTCAGAAAAATGCCAATTACAGTGTTTACTGCTGCTGCAGAATGTCCTATAAAGAAGCTAGCTTGATTTTTGGATCTGAAGTAATTTGAAATGGTAGTAAAGTGAAATATTCATCGGGGCGGGGGGGGGGGGGGGGGGTTTTTGTGGGGGTTTT